CCTAACGGCTACCAATCGTACGATTGTTCCGCCACTAGCTTGCTCCATTTCACATGGTGCGGGTGATATGGTAAAGGAGCTGGTAGCAGCAAGCCAACTGGCTTCGACATGTGGTCCTACACAGAGCATTTCGAATGATTTTTCTGCTTTATCTCCAGTATCGAGTCATCCACCTTTTCATTCGGGTTCAGCTCTCAATGCCCATCAATTCTGATTATGACAAAATTCGACCATAGAAGTTATGATGCTGATCATCTCCGACCATACTTTGTGCGTTTGCTCCACCCTGCTCCCCCTACCGCCAAGTAGCTCCCTCAAAACTGATGTCGGTGTGGTCACGAGATCACTCAACTAAGCAATTGAGGAGACTTGGGGCCTGCAGTCACGAAGTTAAGGTGGATGGTCTACGTTGTTCGTCACTATGGGTCAGCGAAGGAATCATGTTGGGAGCTCTGAAAAGAAGAACTGATCACGCTCCTGCGCAAAATCGATAAGTCTTTCTCTCCCTGGAGTTGGTCCTGCGCCGTCACAGGACTCTGTCCTTGTTAGACGTCGCCACCTCCAATCCGGAGCTTCTGCCGCGGCATTCACTTCAAAAGGTTCCTGCCGACATACCTCCATCTGAAGTTCAGGAGCACCTCGCGATTGCTTGCCCTGTACTCCGAATCGCAACGCCTTCCTAATCGGATGGTGCTTAGACCTCTTTGATAAGTGCCCATACCATCGCATTCGCGGCTCTCGTGCCTTCAGCTGGACCGGAGGCACGTCCTCGTTTCTGACCCTGTTTAGCCGCGGGCCCATCTCAGTATCTCAGTTCAGCTGCGTGAGAGCTGTCTTTCATTAATGCTGCACATAAGTCAGCTTTCGTCACCGCAAGACACCGCCAGCATTACCATTGCCCGGTGGTACACCTTACCTTTGAGCGTTCTCAAGCAGGCCCGTCGGTGCCTGCGGACGCTCTCCATTTCATCCAGGCTGCACTGATTCGGAGCTTTTACCGCCTGGTCCACGCTGCCATCAGCTGCTAGGTCGCTCCCCAGGTACTGGAAGTCCTCGACCCTTTCGATGCTCTCGCCGTGGCGGTCTACGATGGGTTCGGTGCACTTCTCGGAGCTCAGAAACTTCTCCTTCTGGCCTTCCTTTGATGTTCAAAAGGAGTCCTTTTTTGACCAGTGCATCCTGCTTCCTTTGCGCCTTGAACTGGAGTTCTTCCTTGCTACCGCTATCAGGAGCTGTCTTCACCATAGAATATGGTTTTCGGTGGACCTTCCACCGGAGCTTTTTTGCCATGACGTCCAGGGTTAGGATGAAGGGGAACGGGCCCAAGGTCGATCCTTGGCCGTACTCCAACGTGATGCTCCACCCATGTTTTGTCGAGCCGTGGTAGGTCCAACCGCATTGTTATGTTTCTTCAAACATTGAAGAGAACGCATGTGTATCCAAAACGTTCCACTTATCTCCGGGGCACTCTCACCAGCCGCAGCCATTAGCCAGGCAGGCGCGATTTCACCGAGTGCGCCCGCTAAGGGGGTTGCACAAAGTCTAAGTAGCAGGGTCGCCGCTTACTCTCGACATCTTCTCCCATCAACTGGTCTGGCGATTGAAGATGTATCAATGCGTGAACTCTTCGGGCAATGAAAGACAACTGCCTCTCGCGTAGTTATGGACAAGTTCCCTTAAGCCTTTTATTGCTGCCACAGCCGCGCTCGTACTCGTATGTGGCCGAAAACAACTTTGAGTAGCCGCGTTATCCTGAAAGCAGCCTACCGTCGCATTGCCCTATTTCTTCAAAAGATTGGGACAATTACACTTGCTTCTGAACCCTTCCTTCGGCGCGTGCTGCTGTTGATTGATGAGCGTTATGATGAGGCAATACTTCTCCGCCTCTAAAAAAAGACAGACCGACGCTCCATGCTCTAAATATACTCCGGCCCCTATCGTAGACCCCACTGCCTCCCAACACATCCTTCCGTCCGCTCAGAGGACTTCATTCTCTACGGTATCGATGGGAGATACAGGATCTGTTCGCGCGATCTATCTGTGATTCTTCGCTACCAAGTGGTTCCCTCGATAGTCACTCCTTCCCATAATGCTTTCTGACTTCACTGTTGTTTCTTAAGATCGGGACATCCGCAGCTCCTCACCAGTCGATATCCTGCAGCCGAGCGTTGATTGGGCTTTAGCCAGGCGGAAGGCAAACAGACAGAAGCGCGGAATTGTAAGTATATAAAGTCATCTGCGCTTGACCTTGTTTATCAGATTGATGGACGAGGAGTATACGCCTCCCTTGAACTACACATTAGTGAGCATTGTGCCCTGAGCTGCTGCCCACTATAAGAGATGCACGAGGGAGAGGTTACTGTAGCTATACCAGCCACAAACACCAGCGGGCGCTGCACACTATCCTGTAGATGGCGTTTCGACCATCATGGATGGGCTCATTAATTGAACGTGCATTCGGGTACGTCACTGATATCGACACAATACAGGTTTCCTCGTTATAAAATCGGTAGATGACACGTAATCCTCTACTTTAATAGATAGCGGACCTCTATCACACCTGCGCTAATGAGGCACATATCGAAGGTGCAGAAGTATTTGGAGCCTTCTACCCTTTCTCAAATTAGTCAAGTTGGTGCTTTAGAAGTATATAGCTGGCTCATTGGGAGAGAGTCAGCTCTAAATGAGCTGAGCAGGCTCAATGTGCAAAAATACCGTTCATTCAGTATTTGGTATGACAATCGCCGGAGAGCAATCTTTACTCTATAGAATGGACTTCGAGTGCCTACGAGGGGGCAGCGAAGATGTATGCCAGCCTGGTTGTCTCACAGTATAAATTGAAATACTGTGTACAGCTAAGTTACGCACTGGTCGAATCGGCAAGAAAATCGTGAACATATGTGGCTGAAACGAGCTGGGCGAAATTCCTCACATTCTGGACCCCTGTGTAGCGATGGTAAAACGAAACCATAAAGATGGATCCCGCTTACGAAGGCGGGGCTAGGTTAGCGTCGCTGAGGCGGCGTACAGAGTTCGCGATGTCGCGCGTTGACGCGCTGTAATGCGCTGTAACGCCTTGGTCTAAATGCGCGGTCGAGGGCACCGGCCGCTTTCATTCCGAGAAAGTATGGGGAAAATAGGATGGTAGATGTTGCCTGGTCACACAAACTGCTACTGGTGGGCACTGGCAATCTGCGGCTGCGTTCGCGTCTATAGCCTTGGAGCGCAGTTGTAATTGTAACACGTCGGCGCGAGCTACAGCGCGTTACAGAACGTCATCACAGAAGTCTGAAAGCTGCCGAAGACGTGGCGCTTGCATCAAGCGTTTTCGAATCGCGAAAGCAGGACATGCTTTGCAACTGCTGACCGCGTTACATTGTGCAGTGAAGCGCTTTTGTACGCAGGATAATCGCGGGCCGCCTTAGAGATGGCTGCAATGGAAGTCTTGGAACGTGAATCAAAGGCTGAGACGTCATGCAGTCCGAACCTCATCATTTTAGGATGCCGTGTTACGGTGGGCAATCGAAATTCGGCGGTTCGGCCTTAAAAGAGACATCAACGAATGGACCATGAATATCGGACATGCCACGCAGGTGAGTCTGCATCTTTTCACTTGACGCGACCATCTTCAAAGAGACAAGCTGTAGCCACTCCACGTGTTTCGACTCGCCCCGACGCTCACTTCTAGCAATTCCTGGCTCATCTCACAAGGGAAGGATGGTGGGTCGAAGTGGCCATTTGAAATGAGATGTATACCGACTGAAAGGTCTTTGGACGGGGATTACGAAACCGTCTTCCATATCTGCTGCGGACCTCCCAGAGCGAAGTTACGGGCCTTTTCAGGGGAGCATACTGGCATTCAATACGAGTTGAATGTATATAGTGACCTTCACCATCATGGCCAAGTGGATACGTTGCAGGTTCCACGAGAACATGTTTGAGGGTTTGGATCCTTGATGCGTGTCTTCTTTTGCATTTTGTCGACAGTGATGGCTGTGCAGTCAAATGCATTTCCGCATAAATCTCGTGATTGATAACGTAGTAGCGTAACCTTTCTGAATTAATAGAGCCATTATGGACGATTCCATGGAGAACATCCTTGGCTGTTCAATTTGTCACACAAGCCGAAAGCACCATTCTGGGATCGAACATCTTTCAACACCATGTGAGTGAATGAAGATTTGCCCATCATGAGTTCTGGCAAGATTGCCACATCGAAGTCTCGCGTCAAAACCTTGTCGTATGAAAGCCTCTCCAACTGTGCACATATTCGTACACGACTCCGTGTAGTTTGGGGTGCAGCCATGTGGTTTAGAGAATAAAGACATTTCCCACGGCAAGCTCGTTGTAGTGCATCCTTATTGGTGAAATAAGCTTCTTGGTACAATAAAAGAAGAAATCAATAGTTTAAAATGTCGTCCATGGATTCGTCCATAATGGATATATTAATTCAGAAACATTACGACATTGTCATAACAAGAGTCATGCGGAAATGCTTTCGATTGCTGTCGAAAAAAATGCAGAACAGGACCCGCATCAAGGATCCAAACCTTTGACCATGTGCTTGTGTAACCCGCGACTTATCCACTTGGCCACGCTGCCTCGGTGGAGTTAGCCATACGCAGCTAACTCCTGTTGAATGCCAGTATGCTCCCCCTAAAAAGGCCCGTTAGGCCTTTCAGTCGGTACACATCTCATTCCAAATGGCCACTTCGACCTACCATACTTCCCTTGTTAAGCACTGGATGTGAAGGGATACGCAGCAAGGCGCAGCATTTGAGAGCGCTGCTTGACCAACGGCAAACTGGTTAGTGGTGCATGCCGTGTCCAACGGAGCAATGGCTACTTGTGAGCGACAATCAGGATTTGTGCTACCGTTTAAAGAAATTTCTGCGAAGAACGCCCCCTTCAAAATTTCCTCCTATGATACAAGCCCTGAAAACTTCCCTTTTGTTACCACCCTCCGCCTCCCCGCCCCCTCCTGTCCCTCCCACGCTATCTCTCCCCTAGCCTACATCCTACTATGTATAGTCCGCTAAGTGTGTGTGTTGTGTGTGTGTGTGTGTGTGTGTGTGGTGTGTGTGTGTGGCGAGTACTTCTACGGTTATGCTATACCAGTCGGATCGGCCGGCTGACGCCGAGCTCTCCTCCTTCTCCTTAGTTGGCTTGGTTTGCCAGGCGTACTTCATAACAGAAACGGAATTTGTTCATTTACTTAGCTGCTCATACTGCGCTATTTTGATCGAATCGTAATAGATGGAGCAACCCACGCGCGAGCTCACGTCCAGCTGCCACGCGAGCTACTTGTGCAACGGCTCGGAGTGTACTAAATAGCTGTCTCATGTAGGTGGGTACTATCACAATCAAAACGGCATCATGGTTTGTTACTATTATGAATTAGCACGCATTTTTGCTAGCGGTTGTATCTTCCTCTCTTGATGTGTGCTGCAAGCATGCGCTACCCACCCCCTTATCGTACCCCTTTCACCCAACATCTTCCCCCTGTCCCTACCCTGCACGTGCTCCATTCCGGCTGAGCACGTGTAGGGGAGGGAAGCAGAGGGGAGAGGTCACTTGGTACCCCACCCCACCCTGCCCCCGCACGAGCACACGTCCAGCTGCCACGCGAGCAGCTCGTGCAATGGCTCGGAGTGTACCGAATGGTTGTCTTATATATGCTGTTATCACAATCAAAACATTGGATTGATACATCTGCACCAAACGGTTTGCGGTTTGTCTAGCGGTCGTATTCTCCTCCCACTAACCTATTCGAACCCGTGAAGCATTTTACGGACGGACATAAATACATACATACATACAAGACCGACACACAAATTTACTGCTTTGATAGTGGAATGAGTTCATTTTCTATTGTATTGTTATCAGAGAAGTGATGGCTAAAGGAAAAGTTTGCACACTGAGCCTTCAATACTTGGCAGTATAGTGATAAGAGATGTAATGAGAACGGCCCCTTATCTTCTTATCAATTGATAAGATTGCCTGTCACCCGTCATCAATGTCCCTATCACTGAAACTCTATAATTTGGTAGTGTAAAGGCTCCAGCACTTTGACTGAACAACAACGGCAACGTTCCTTATCAGCCCCTATCAGCTGTTATCACTTCCTGTCACCCGCCGTCGCCGTCCCCACCTCCCCCTCTATATCATTTGCTGGAATCAACGCCTAGCTGATGCTGTGTCCCGCGTTATGAGTATGGTGACCTTCCCATTCTAACTCCCCTTATCAAATCTTATCAGCTGCTAGCAGTTCTTGTCACCCACCAATAATATTCCTGTGCCATAGCCTATATCATACCTTGGAACAAACGTCCCACTGTTGCTGTGTCCCGCACTATGGACTCGGTGACCCTCCCCTTCTGACGCCTCTTATCAGATCTTATCAGCTGATATCACTCCCTGTCACCCACCAATAATGTTCCCGTCACAGCCCCTATATCACTGCTTGGAATCAACTTCCTACAGCAACTGGGACGGTCGCTATGAATTTCGTGACAGACAGACAGACACACACAGACATACTTAGCGGATTATATATAGTAGGATAGACAGACAGCTGATAAAGGAATGCCCGTTGAATTTGTGCTCATTGCCGCATTACAAAAAATTATTTCATATGAAAACCATACAAATATTACGAATAAAATATGTGGCAATACAAATAAAACTACTGTGCCAATGAAATATTAGAACGACAAAAAGGAAGGCATGCTTGTTAAGCAACACGACTAATCGGATTAGGAGATGTGACCATAATCTGTATGCATTGGTTTATCGGGCCATAGATTAGAGAGAATTGATAGGAGCAGCCGTTCAGTAGGAGGACAGGACGACGACTGAATCGACTGGCGAGCACGCGGGCTGAAATCAGAGAACTAGAGTAGCTTCCCGCGCTTCTGGCTTCTTCCACGGTCCATACTGATATCTACGGTAGGATAGCGAATGGAGCATTGTTTCCCTCCGGAGCATACCACGATCGCTTCCAAGCGCATACGCAATTCGCTATAGTGTGTGTATCTATCACGAAAGTAATAACCCGTTCTAGCGGCAGGGGAAGTTGGTTCTATGGAGCGATATAGGGGCAGTTACGCAAACATATCTGGTAAAAAACAGGGAATAATAACAGCTGATGATGTCATCGTGGCATTAGAAGAGAAGGGTCATCAAATCCATGGTGTCCGTCCCAGAAGCCATAGGAAGTTGGTTTCAACGTGCGCCATAGGAAGTTGGTTTCAACGTGCGATAGAGGGTATATTGTGGGAGTCGGGAATTATTTATGTTTGGTAACAGAGAAGTGTGATAGCACTTGAGTGAAGCTCATAAGGAGCATTGCCGTCGTAGTTTTCTTCAAGAAGGTAGAGCTTGTAGACTGCCAAATCGTGCCGATTTCTGATAGGGACAATCATGGCTGTAACGGTGATCATTCAAGTTGATAAGAATTGATAAGGGGCCATCTTTACACATTTTTTTGGCAGCTTACTTTTTCCTCAGTTTTGTTTGTCTCACACTGTGTCTACTATTGCTGCAGGTCTTAGAGTCAGGGAGGGAGAGGGAAGAGAGGGGGAGCGGAAGTCGAACTCTTTTCGCGATATGTTTAGAGCGAAGATGATGTATTAGATTCACCGCAATAAAACCAAGAAGGGAAGGAGTCCAAGGTTTAGAGTGAAGATATGCTGCCAACGAAAAGCCTATGTAGGGTTCCATGTATGCACGCGGCAACGCGCCCCATGCGATTTGATTTTTTCCAAAATTTTCCAACTTCACGCAATGTTCCAGTTTTCTGAGAATTTTTCTAGTTTCTCCTGGATAAACGGGAGGGAGGGGGGAAGATAGCGCACTTGATGAAGAACAGAGTAGAAAAACCGAGGACAGTCCAACCGGAAAATTCTTATCAGAGGCGCAATGCGACTCCCCCCTACACTCCACGACCGATAATGACCCCCCTGTTTTAGGAATTCCGCAACCGGTACGACGTGTTCAGGGGATAGATGCAGTCGTCAGAATAGCTGCGCCTTATACTTTGCTTGCCAGGTAGCCGTAGGTAGCGGCAGCGTAGCGTAGGCGCTTCCAGCGTACCGCAGGCGGGCAGTGCCCGAGGAGAGGATGCATATCGATCTAGCTTCACCAGCGGCACGCTAGCGTACGCCAGCGTTTCTCCAGCGTTTCACCAGCGTTTTGCTAGCGCTTGCAGCGGCAGGGGAGTAGAGACTATGTGGCCGTGAGAGACGCGGAATCGACGTGTATTGTAGAGACCATATGGCCGTCGGAGACGCAGAAGCGATGTGCATTGTAGAGACTATGTGGCGTCGGAGACGCAGAAGCAATGTGCATCGTAGAGACTATGGGGCCGTCGGAGACGCAGAAGCGATGTGCATTGTAGAGACTAAGGGCGAGTGGGAGACGCGCAATCGATGAGTTTTGTACCCTCCAGCTCTCCCATAGTCTCTACTCCCTGCCGCTGCAAGCGCTAGCAAAACGCTGGTGAAACGCTGGAGAAACGCTGGCGTACGCTAGCGTGCCGCTAGCGTACGCCAGCGTGCCGCTGGTGACGCTGGTGAAGCTAGATCGATATGCATCCTCTCTTCGGCACTGCCGCTGGCGTACGCTGGAAGCGCTACGCTACGCTGCCGCAAAGTATAAACGCAGCCTATACGCGCCTTTAGTTTTCTCCGACAGAAAAAGGGGTACGAGGTGTACAGGTATCACAGCTTGATGGGCTTCAGTTAAGGGTGAACACCTCAATCGATATCCATCGTAATTATTTCCGTCTTAATGGCGCTATCCCTCTGAGCAGGAACGGTTGAGAGAGTCATGCTTGAAAAAAATTTCCGCATTTACTGCTATTAGATGAACAAAATTTTAAAGATTTTCTGGGCCGAAACTACAACGGTGGGATGCGGAATGCTTACGTGCACTGATGGAATGATAAGTGTCGTTTGCCATTACTACCCGAAGTAAGTAAGCTGTTTTGAGACAAACTGTACACTCACTTCCGACGACGGTCCTTGCCATGTATGAGACGAATGGGTCCGCGGCTGCAGTAGCGTGCCACATTCTCCAGTGCACGGGAACGGGGCTTTAGGGTGTAGTAATATCCGAGTCCCGCTGTATGCTACGCCCACGTCATCCTCAAGGTGCAGCACCTGCGTCGATACCAAGGTCTGACAGCGAAAAACGAAAGAACAACAACTCAGCGGTAAAGAAGAAGCAGAAATGAGAGGGCGCAGACGAGTAGCTCGTTTAGCCATAGCTAGGCGCGTGGTCGTGCGGCAGCGCAGGCAGTGTATGGAGACGACATTCTGGTATCACTACCCTGCGACCCCGCTCATGTGAGCTTCTGACCGAAGGAGGTGGCATGCTACTGGAGCTCCGGGAGCATTTGCCCTCACACTGACAACTACCAGGACCAATGTAGGTGAGTGTACATTTGTCTTCGAGGAGCAGGTCTAAGCTCCGAATCTCATTCATGAACACAGCATATCCCTTCTTTTGCAGAGGGAACTACGCTGAGAAGAGAAATGGTACACGCCTGTCATACACTTTCCGAATGCGGAAAGCCTAAAAAAATCAAAAATATTTTCGGTGAAATTGTTGGAGAAGAGCAAAGAGCGATGGAGATCTCGCACCCAAAAACTGGACTCTGTGAAATTTTGACCTGAAAAATCATTAAACGAGTGAACTTCCAATAAAACACTCATTATTAGATCTGCACTGTGCTCGGGTACTGTCTGAAGAGTAACACACAACCGACCTGTAACCCTTGAGACAGTACATGAAGGGAACTGGAAGTCTAGGTAATGCATTCTGGACCTTAACGAAGAGGGTGTTGAGACTTTATTGGGACGTGTGTCGACGCACTACGATGCGTTACGACGCGCTGCCACTGCAACAGCGCTTCTTTGCCAGACCTGAACGCACGAATCGATCGGCGCCCGCCACTAGTGTTTTGAGGGAGGATGGGAAAAGGAGGGTACCTGTTGTTTAATCGTGTAGTCAGGTACCCTGCTAATACTCTATGAGCTCCCAAAACACTCGCGCCTGGCGCCGGAAGATACGAGACTGCGCGATCAGGCAGTGACCCTCCTGTTCTTCTGTACCACTTCGATAGCAAACGGGCGTTTGGACGTCTTTTGTACGCAATATTGAAGATGCTAGTGCCATGCGTTTCTCATGCAGCGTTAAAACTCCGCAATGACGCGCTACTATCAGCCCAACGCTCCAGTCGATCGGCGGATAATGTTTCGAGAGAGAAAGGAACTGACCATTACCTGGGCACTTGGCTCTTCAAACAAGAATATTTGCTATTCCCAAGGCGATGTTTTCACCTCGCAAAATGCTTTTGAACCTAGCGGACCCTCTAACATGCAGATACCACCATCAGTTTGCTCGCAACGACATAGAGAAACCAGCTCGTCCAGCAAAGAGGGTGACAGGAATGATAGTGACCCTCCTCAACCACGACTTCTTCCCATAGATTGAGCTCGCTCGCTTCTTTTATGACGGTAGAGGTCCAAGACCAGATTTATTCGCTTGAATCCTGTTGCTTGTTGATAATGTTGAACGTAAGCTTGAAGACAGAACTGGATGGAAGCTTCGATCCGTGTGTCGCGTCGACAGCAATGGGAAGCGACATCGTCGAAAACATCAAATGTCGGTAGCACTCGTTAAACCGGTTCAGCTGACTTGACCTAATTCGAACGCACGCTATAGGCTTTCCACAGCTCCCGGTTTGTAGTTGGAGTTCACCACTGATTGCCTCTTCCCCCATTAGTCATTCTTCCTGGGGCTATGCGATGAGGATTTGCGAAAGTCGGCTTCACCGCTAGTATATTTGATGGTGGAACGATCCACAAGGATAGTGGAACGACGCGTCAGCGGATAGGGCTGGTCTGAGACTCGAACTCAACAATAGCAAGGTGAAGTACATGTGCACCATTTAGTCAATTGTGGTCAACGGACAACCTCTCCAGTACTACAGAATTCCCGTAGATGCGATATACTCTGACCGTGGATGCAGATATTGAGGCCGACACAACTGCAAGAACCACTGCTGCATGGAACAAGTGGAGGACGGTTATCAGTTGTTTCTGGGATCAAAGAATGCCGATACACCTTAAGTCTTGGATCCACGCTTAAATGGTGAAAAATTCTCCGAAAAGCCGAGCCAGATATGGAGAAGTGAGGGCTCATTTGTTTTGAACATAAGAATGCTGCGCCGGATCCTGGCACACACAGACTGGACTCAATCGGAACTGAACAGTCAATCCAGCGACAAGCATTTGGATTAGCACCATGCCTTGTCGCACAATCATCCTCCGTTTCTATGGTCACATTCAACGAAGATCTGTATTTGACGCGCGTACCTGAAGTATTGTTTGATCGGTCCGGGTACCATAAGTACTGTGATAAGATCATCTCCGTCGGCAAAGAAGGAATGAACTGGAAGGAGATAACCTGAAAGACGGACACAACCGCTGCTGATCTTTTGCAAGTGATGCATGGAATCGAGACCGTTGGCTTTGTCTTGGCGGAAAAAGACACCTAAAACCATGGTGGTCAAAGGGGACGGGATGAAATTAATGAACTATTCTTTTCGGGTTTAAGAGTGCAGGTCAGCAGAGTGCCAGTTTCGAATCCGTGACAAGTGAACCAGGACCCCGCGATGATCAGAAGCTCCTCGCGTTCTAAGTATTCAGCCCGGGCTTATTTGACCTGATTCGACGGTTTCTTTTGCTAATTTTCTCACCTGCAAGTTAGTCAGCACCTAAACGTTCATAGTTGGATTGCACTATTTCCGACATCAGATTGAGGACTTTGTCTCCAAACCTAGCACAAAAGAGTTGTATTGACTTGACCCGCAGCCTCCATGAAGATGCATATGCATAAGGCAGACCGTTGACCTCTTTTCATGCTCCGCCAGCTCTTTCCGTAACATATGGGTGCCCAGCGGCCGACTGCATGCTCGGCTCAAGCGGGGCAACCCCTGATAAGTACGGCTGGGCACAGGTATACCGCTGCTCCGATTGTCTGGCCTCGTTGCCCTCCTAGGGTAGCCGCTGGTTAGGGCAGCTATGGCATGTCCGTTGCACCGCAGCGCTCAGCCTGTGTCGTACTGTAATGTACTTCACGTACCGTCCTGCCACCATGGCAGTTATTTGTCCAAGGATCACCCTCGAGCTGCAGAGTCGATCGATGGTATGGCCGGCTAAGGGTGGAACATAACAAGGGCTTGCGCATATTGCCGTGACACGCACCGCGTTTTGGCCTTGGATCTGGCAGCACTTCTAGGCGAGCGCTGCGCCCTAGATACGAGTGGCGTTTCGCGACATTCGTACCTCGCAGGACT